AGTACAGGAGCTCAGTATCGGGCCCGATACCAGTATCGGTATCGGTGCATCCCTAATTCTCAGCTCAGAACCGCATCAAAAACTCCACTCGAAGCAGTCTGCACGTATCCACCACGGAGGATCTTATTCGAATCAGCACTGAGGGACCTTCTCTGGAGAGATTTGATCCAAGCAAATGCGCAGAGAAGTGGCTGTCTTCAAGTAAACGTTCAAGAAAACCACACTACAAAGCCTGGCCAGCTGAAATATGCAGCATCTGATTGCTGTTCACTGTGTGGCAGGAACATTAATTGTGTTCAGCAGTGCAGATGTCAATAAAGCTTTTAAAAGGACAGTTCACCCAAAAATTAAAAATTCTGTTATCATTTGCTCACTCTCTTGTAATTCCAATACCTTAAGTCTTTCTTTCATCTTCAGAACTCACTTGAAGGTTTTTTTTTAATATTATGTGTATGTAATGACATTAGGGTGGGTAAATGATGACAGAATTTTTATTTGTTGGTGAACTGTTGTTTTAAATATATTTGAGCACTACACTTCAACGTCTGTACATTGTGTATTTGTGCATATGAAATTTATGCATGATTTTTTTGTGTTTTGAGGACAGCCTGTCTGTTTTTCTGAAACTGAAAATATTAAATGTTTATCTGAAGCTATGTTTCAGATTTTTTTTTCTCATGCTCTCCATACTTGTGTATGTTATGTGGCACATTAATATTGCGTTGTTTAAGGGGAAAAAAACAGAACACAGAAACACAGAAAATTGTCTGTGCTCCTAAATTTTTGACTGTGCTCCTAAATTTTTTTGATTAGGAGCACAAGTAATAAAACATAAAATTAAAATTAATCCTAATAAAAAAAAGTTACCGTAGAGCCCTGTTCTTAAACACATCTGAAACAAAGTAATCAAGGTCTTTAGATTCACTAGAAACTTCCAAGTGCATCAAAGCTGGTTGGAGCTAAACACTGGCCCACCAGAAGCAAGATTGGACATCCCTGGTTTAAATGCTCCACTTACAATTATAATATTGGTGCCAGCATCCTCTCTCTCTCAGCATCCTCTTTTACATATTTTAAATATTGTTTATTGGTACTTGCCTCTAGCACAGTCTAGTACAATGATGGCAACTGTTCGAATCATGTCTGAGATGCATTTACACATAAATATTGTGATATACACTTTATGTATAACAGCCTGTAATGGCACCTGTCTTCTAACCATCATGGAAACTCATAAATGGTTGATTTGAAACACTCTACAGCGCCACACACCACACAAATAGTGCTTCTCAAAATCAGTACACAACTGATTTCAATAGTGCATGATGCCAGCATCTTGCTCCGCTAATAGTGATATTCTACTAAGCATAAAATGCACACCACACTTAATATTGCATTACATATTTGAGTATTGAGACTTTTCAGTGTTGAATGAAATGTTTATTTATGATTAATATTTCTCCTGCTTTGTTCACCATCTCGAAATAATTTGTAGCAATACATTCTGGGACTTCCTACTCTTTTGAAGGATACATATGTTGCCGTCTACTAAATCAAACCCTTAAGCATTATGAATGACAGTCTGTAAAAATGTCAGTCAAAGAAGATGCTGGCTGAAATATTTTAAGAGTAAGAATGTGCTTTACTGACATTTTAAACCAGCGATAAAAGAAAGCATAGATAAGGGGATTCAAACCCGAGTTAACATACAAGGTCCAGGTTAGCAATGTCATTGTAGTGGAAGAGATTGCTGTGGATTCTGTTAAAGAACATATATAGAACGGAATCCCACAGAGCAAATAAACGGCCACAATGATTCCTAAAGTCAGAGCAGCTTTGCTCTCAGATTTTCTCCTCACTGAAACTTCCATTACACATTTACCACCTTTAAGAGAGTTCAAAACTTTTACTTGCTGTTGTGCGACATAAAAAATCTTCAAATATACAGAGATGATCACAATACATGGCAATAGGAAGGAAAAGGTCAAATCTGTGAATCTCCAAACAGGAGTAATCAAAACAATACACTGGCCGTAACAAACATCTGGTCTGTGTGAGGTATTAAAATATCCATTACTAATTACAAAGGCTATATTGTAAAGTGAACAACAACACCAGGAGACACAGATGCTTATTACAGTTTTAGTTGTGGTAATTTTCTGGGGATACTGTAAAGGGTGACACACAGCCACATAACGATCAATAGCAATTAAAACTAAAGTACTAAGAGATGTACAAAGGAGCAGCCTAACGGTAATTACAAACAATCCACAGTAAGTGTCTCCAAAGTACCAACATGTTTCAATGAGCCTAGTAGCCTCTATGGGCATCACAATTAGTCCAACAAGCATATCAGCCACAGCCAGAGAGAGAATGATCAGGTTGGTTGGAGTGTGAAGCTTCTTGAAGTGAGAGATGGAGATGATCACCAGCAGGTTCAGAAACACAGTCCATGCTGACAGCACTGATACAAACACATAAATGATATTGTATTCATGACTGGAGCGTTTTCCCTTGATACATGATGAGTTGATGGCAGGAAAGCAGTATTGAATCTCATGATCCTCTGTCTCATAGGCCATGAGTGAGTCTCCTCCTGTTAGGAGTTTGTTCTGCTCTCCGTACTGTGCTTTCATTTATACAGAGTCTGGATCAGACTGACCAACCCATCTACCGCCCACTCTGATGCTGCATAATGACATTTTTTTCCTCCAACACTTTCAACATTGATGTGACCATTTAAGACCTATACAGTATTCCTGCTATATTTTTTGTAATAATTTTTTATTTTTGTAATTTTTATTTTGCCATTAATTATCTAGACTATGGTGGCCCTCAATAGTCAAATCTGTTCCACCACAGTCTCATAATTAACCAAAAATATTTTTTAAGCTTTTCATTAGGGCTGCCCTCGACTAAAGATTTTTCTGATCGACTAGTTGTTGTTCATTTTAAGCATTAGTCGACTAATAGCACATTTATTAATAAACCCTTTAAATCATGCTAATGAGCCTTTAATTGCCTACATAGCCTAATAAGCGCTCAAGCGCACGCATAAAGCTTGCTACAGCACACCGGCAGAAGTAATGATGATGAATGTGTCAGGGAAAAACAGTAAGATTAAACTGCATTAACATTTTAATAATCTACTGATAAACTAGTGTTTTCATCTTAAGAGATGAATTCATCGACACTGACTTGTCATCTCCACAGTAGTGGATGCGCCTGCATGCAAATTTCATACGGATTACATAATCTGAGAATATTTATGCTTAAACTTTATTGCAACATTTTGTTGTTTTTTTAATCTATATTTTAATACATATAACTAAGTGCTAAAAGTTGTATTTATTTGTTCATTTTATTTTGTTCATATTTTATTCTTTATTTATTCTCTACTTATGTAATATACGTTTTAAAATTAATAGTTGTTCTTACTCTCTCTCTCTCTCTCTCTCTCTATATATATATATATTTTTTTTTTCTTTTTTTCATGTCTGTAAGGCAAGTATAAACGGAGACGGCAGAAAGCGCATCTTGTTTGCTTTCATTATTTTACAAAAGCGCAATGTTTGCGCACATTTTTCTAGGTTAACATTAGATTGAGTGGCCATGTAAAGTTGCTACTACTTAGATATTTCAGATGATAAGCCATATTTGAGGTCGATGAATGATAGGCCAGCGTTTGGATGTAACGTTACCACAAAATCCTGCCATTAACGATCTGTCCGTCACGGACTATGTGACCTCACCACTTCCTGTGGATTTTGTTTTTCTGCGACTAAGCAACTAATAAAATTTTGGTCGACCAAGCCTCTTCTCGTCGACTAAAGGTTAGTCGACTATTATGGGGGCAGCCCTACTTTTCATATTTGCCTAAAAGGTCTCTAACATTGTGCTTTGCAATTTAATTAAATATATATTTATTCTGTCGTGCTGCGAGTTCTGTGTTTAAGCTAGAAGCTCAATTGGTGTTTGGAAAAGCGCTAGACAAATAAACTTGAATTGAATTGAATTAAAATGCATAGCATCAACAACCTTTTACCTAAGTATTTCAAAGAACACTTTACAGCAAAGTAATCGTGTGTTTTAAAGAATAAACTTAACTAGCCTATGTGCGCATAT